CTGTAAACTTTTTGGAGTAATTCCGCTGACCAGTAGATAAAGTTTCTGAAATCACTGTATTTGTCAATATTGCAGGCACATGTATCGTTTTACAATACTAGGTCTAGTTGCGATTGTTGCACTAAAAATGGAAACTTACTTTGTTTGCTCTCTGGGTATAGTTCATTTAACATTTCTATTACAAGTCTACTCTTAAATTAACAGTTAACTCTAAATAAGACCAAATGTTGGCTTTTGTAATACGCATTGGGAAAATATTAGATGACAGGAGTGAAGTTGCTGGAAGCTGCTACTGTAAATTTTCGCTCCGAAGTTTGAAGTTTAGTAAAGATTGACAAGAGGCAATCTTCTCTACATATCGACGGTACTTCTACTGGAGGGTTGAGCTTCCGAAATTAAATTTCGGAAATCAAAGCGAACAGTTTCGTTGAGGACACCGTAGCATTTGCCGACAAATTCTCTAATAAAGAACACCGCGGTCTTGCGAACCTCTAAAAGGCTCATGATTACGTCAGATTACAAGTTTCCACGGCGAGAAAATCCTGCTCAGTCTTGAGGACAAACTCGCATAAGTCGCATTGGAAGACGAATCCCGCATAGCGGGAGCGAGGACATCTAGATAGAACTTCACGAACTGAAATGCAATCCGAGCATTAAAATTTTGCCCACAGACAAAAATTTTTGGGCTTGTTCAAGCTGACACACTTAACACTTGAACGGGCTGATGAGCTATCTTATCACAAAGTCACACAACAGCTCTCACAAAAAGCTTTATATGTCTATTTATAGTAGATTTAATCATCGCAACCCGATTACATGTATAGTTTGATTTTGAGGTTATTTGAATCAACAAAAAATTAAATCGATCAGTTCGCACTACAATTGTACGGCGAATTTAACTTGAAAAAATGTTCAAATAGGACTCCTCTGTTCCCTGTGTACTAGCCACACTAACGTTGGTATCCGAGAAGTTAGCAGTTTAAGAGACTAGATGTCGCATATTTGTTAGTAATTCGCATATTTGCGCGAAAAGGCCTAGGTACGAATCAGCGCTACAGTGTTACCGACACGGGACTTGTAGGTAGCGGTTTTTCCTGTAAGGTTGCGTAAGAACAGGAGACAAAGGTAAACTATTCATTCATTTCATTCCTTTATTTACTCTCTTCCTACTCAGCAAAATTGTGTGCTCCCTGTGATTTTACTAACCTCGCTAACTCTTGTGTCCTGTAAAAGCTGTGTTAGGCCTGTTAAATCTTCTAAGTAGCTTGGAACATTAAAAACCTTCATGAGAAATGAAAATCCTTCTTCTTGATAGCTGGACAAGACCTGATTAAAAAAAAAAAAAAAACGTCACGTGAGCACTCAGGTGAAACAATCCAACTAAACTTGCCTGCTCAGAGAAGTCGTGTTCTAAAGACTATAATAGTCATATAAGGGATGGTTGTGTCGATATTGATGCCATTGTAGCAAAACGATGAAGCCGAGTCATGTTCAGTTCAAGTCGCTTCAGACACTGAGGGGGATGATGGGAAGAAGAGAAAGAAGCGATGCATGATCCCTTCACCCCCTCCCTCCCTCCCTCTCCTTCTGTTCCTCAAGTCAGTCTGAAAGCAAGAGCACCGAAGGTAAAGTTAGTCCTACCTACCTTAGAAGAACAGGCAATACACTTGTCAAAGGCCAGACTTGCAGGAAGAACTAAATGGTATCTTGAAAGAAATCCCCGAATCTGGAAAAAAATGAATAGTGATTTTGTTCAACTTTTAAAAAAGCACTAAATAATCGACAAATAAAGTATAGAGAGGCTCATGAGGTCCCCTGTATTCCCGCCAAACATAATACAGCAATAATAACCCGAGTAAAATCCTTAAAGAAAGACAAACACTTTATAATAAACAGTAGCGATGTAAAAACATGACTTTTCGGCGACATATCGCCATGATCAAATGCAAATTATTACAAGATTGATAACGTTATATAGAAATGAATGTGTGAAACCACATAAGAATAAAAGTAGGTGTGGAAGCGAGGTAAAGTTCAATGCAGTTTCGCTCGACCAGGCTACCGCACCTCGCGTTTAACAAAAGTAAGAAAGGTGGGATATGAAAAGTGAATGCTGACGAATGAATCGTCAGTCAGGAGTAGGATAAAACTGATGCATAGTTAACCTGATGAGGTACAAGCCCAAGATGACACTCGAGATCAGCTGTTAGATGCGCGTCTTTAGCGCTGGTATCAGCTGCAGCTTCAATGCTGAAAATAACAAAAAACGCATTGTATTAGTGAGATGGCCAACAACGCAAGGCTGTGTCTATCGGCTGAACACCAAGTCAGTAGAAACCAAGAATAATCTTACCTAAAAAATCCCAGTATAAAGACATATGCTTACATCTATAATTGTAGACAATGGCATGGTTTCATGGGATGATACAGCACGGCACGGCACGGCACGGCACGGCACGGCACGGCACGGCACGGCACGGCACGGCACGGCACGGCACGGCACGGCACGGCACGGCACGGCACGGCACGGCACGGCACGGCACCGCACCGCCTGTATATTCATTCTGAGAGCGCGATCTTGTATATTCATTCTGACCGCGCGATCCGGAGACGAACGCACTAACCATGAGGACACCGCGGAGGGGTGTTGAATCACAGAAACATGGTATCTCGAGTCTACAGACTGTATTTATTTAAGAAATGGCACTTTCAAGTAAATTATTCACTACAGTTTGCATGGCGTTTGCCGCTGTGTAGACACAGCGTACCCCACGCCTCTAAACTTACCCTAAAGGATGTTGAGTGAGAGAAACCAGCAGTTCTACGGACAGGGCACTGGCTATATACGACATACCAGGTCTGGATACTGTACACTGCTGGTCCAGGGTGCGATCACGAGTAGACTGCAAGTTATACACAGACCAATATCAATTGTTTACAACACCACTGCTAAAATACTGGTGATGATGCCAAACATGGAATTTTCAAGACTTAGCGGTTTGTCATATCGCGACTGTCTCTTAGCACATAGTTATGCGTTGTGCCCAGAACATTTGTTTCAGAATGAACTCCCCGACTTCTATATTATTGCCTTAAAAACGTTACGATATGGCAGGTGGCTCTAAAACATTTCTTTTCAGTAGAGGCTGGTTCTTTAGCTTGTGCAAGTTGCCATTAAACCATGCACAAGATTTGCTTTCAAAGCACACCATGCATTCAACACCCGGCTATCTATCACGAGCCACACAGCCAATGACAGAACATGGGAGAAAATAGCATCCACGACAAACTCTATTTTACTACTGCAGAATATTTCTCCAACTGACGGGAGGTGTGAGTCAGTGACAACGAAGTTTGTGTAAGAAGCTGAAGAGCTATTTCGTTAGAAACGAGCTGAAGAGAGAGCTATAAGAGAGACTGTATACCACGACAGCATTGTATCGGAAAAGGTTTCTGATTTGTGACTATAAACTTAGGTTTTTAGTAACGATTCCTAACCGTTTCCAGGACTTGTATTTTGATGGCTTAGATAGATAGATAGATAACTTTATTTCAACTCGGATTGATGAGGCTGATTAGGCCTCTAGCAAGATTATGCTAATTTACCGAGAAAAATAACTTTAAACGAAAGAAAATTGAAATAAAAAAATTACAAGATATAAATATATAATAGCTAAGACTAGTTTACATATGTAAATTTACAATAGATCTAACCGCAATCTTAAAATCTTTAAGTGTCTTCATACAACGTAGTGTATCCGGAAGTGAATTCCAAGCTTTTGAAGCAGTGTAGGCCACGGACTTAGTCCCATAACGGGTGGTGTTAACTTTAGGGATGACAAGCTTGTTGGTGCCCCTTAGATTCTTAATGTTCTCACGAATAGTAAACAAGTCACTTAAATATGTAGGAAGAAGGTTGTTGACAGCTTTAAAAGCTAAGATTAACATATCTTGTATACGTCGATCAGCTAGAGTGTAGCCAGTTCTTTCAGTTAATTCCCCAGCATTTGTAGGCGATCGGCCACTATAAATGTACCTTAGAGCTCTCTCATTTAGTTTATCGAGCTTTTGACTGTCAGATTTCAGACAATTGTGCCAGGCGGTGAAGCAGTAGGTAAAATAGGACATGATGAATGAATTATACAGGCATAATTTTGTTGAAGAAGAGAGTATCTTTTTAAACCTACATAAAACATCCAGTTGCTTTCCTACTTTCTTGGTGATCTTAGTTACATGTTTGTCAAAGAGTAGAGAGTTATCAATAACAACACCCAAAAGCTCAAGGTGATCAACACATGGAATTTGAATATCATTGATGGTGAATTTCAAATTAAGAGAGTGTTTGTTCGATAGGACTAGGGCTTTACATTTAGTGGGATTGAGTTCAAGCTTATTGTCATCAAACCACTTACACGCAACAGCGAGCTCGTCATTAATCACAGACTTCACAACTTGCGGCTTAGTAGATCTTTTTAGTTTAGGCGGTTTGTTGCCACATTTCAGACAATGTGATGATACTCTTGAGAATTCTTGCTTTCCAATTTATTTAACAGTCGGGTGTTTATGAATGAATAATTTTAAGATGGATAAAAAAACAATTCTCTAGAGGTCACGTGGCCTGTAATGGGAGAACAAATCGTTGAGCAAAATCTCGTGATTTGTCTGTGGCAAGCAGATCAATTTTTTGCCGAAGCCGAAGGCGTAAAATCACGATATTTTGCGATAACCGAGTTCATTAATTGTTTTATCATTCGATCACCATGTTTGCTGGTAAATAATTCTCTGAAAGCTCAGGGAAGCGATCTGTCATTTTTCACACAAGAGCGTGGTTACAATTACACATGAGCAGAATATTACTAGCTACAACGCACATTCAGACGGTATTACGCATGAGCAGACCATTATTTGTGGGCAGTTATTTACAGGTCACGTGGTGGATTCTCGGCCTATGAAAAGAATGGGAAACAATGCATCAAATGATAATTAAGTTTGGCGACTTACATCTCCAGGTGCAACCACATCATTACAGAAATAACAACCCAAAGAGGTTCCTGGGATGGACTCGAGCCTGGCCGCTCCTTGACACTCGGCCGCATGCGTAGTGTCTCTGGCACCGTGTCGCATCACAAGGAATGTATCAAAACCAAGAGCTGCTGTAATGACACACTAAACAACAACAAAACATGTCACGTGTCAAACATTGGAACCTAACTATATCATAAAAGTAACACGAACAAAGTTCTTACTGCGGAAAAAGAACAATAATATCTAGCTTCGTAGGATTCTGCTACCAAGATACTGTAATGCAATTCGGAACATTTCAAAAGAAATTTCAGTTCTCTAACACTTAAATCATCAACATTTCTCTGCGTGTTACCGAGTGTCGAGTTCAACCCATTCTCGCCATTCCCCTGTATTGCCGACAGATTCCTGATCATCATGTGGACCTGAATCCCAGAAGCGATCGTCAGACCCCTACTGTTAAGCAAGATCAAATCTATCCTCAGTGACTGCACTGCATACAAAACTAAGATATTCAGGGAAGGTTTTAAAACTGTGCAGTTTTCTAATTAAGGCCTTCGTGTTATAACAACGGTCAGGTCAAAAACTGCTGCACAGTTGTCATACAGTTGTTCTTGCCTTCCTTTTCAGGGCACCCAAAACTGTTGGTAACCAGCGACTCTCTCGTGTGTCCATAAGAAGGAAGACAGCATCATGACCGTCTATCAGCTCCTCAAGTTTACTGACATCCTTTTGAACTTTTTCTATTTCCTCTGTAAGAAATTAACACATTAATAGCGATGAGAAAACACTAACTGTTATGAGCCAAAGTATCACGCAAACGCAGGAAAGCATTACAAAGAGGCTTCATAAAATAACAAAATGTTCGGTACCTGGAGATTGCGCGACAGAATGTCCTGGCATGGGAATTGACAGCTGGCACGACGACGCATTCTAAGAGCAAATAAAGACAATATAAGGCATCTTACTTAACATACCAACTGCACGGGTGATGGTCACGTTTTTAGAGGAGTGAGGCGGGGGGAGGAGGTAAGTGGCGTATGTGCCCCATTTCAAAGCGTCGGTTGCGCCAATCAGTCATTTCCAAGGTGCCTTGTGCAAAACTGTTCATTTGAAAACGTGACTGATTTGCATGAACACATTTTCATACAAAAAGACTCGAGACAAAACGCAAAGGCAAAAGGAAACTAGCCTATATCACCCAGAAACTCTGCATCATCTTATGTTTGAACCCTCTACATTGCATTCATTCACGTTTCCGTTCACGTTATTTGATGGCAATGCACTGATTTCAAATATAATTGGTTTCTGCAGTCAAACGTTAACACAGGCCATTGAAATAAAGCACAAAAAGACGGAAAAGAAAAGAAGATCATAGCTTGTGAATTAGCCTTATCTTACCACACCAGGAAATATTCTTTTCAGGGCAGAAGCTGCCGTGTCAGCCTTGGGTTTTCCTCCATTTTGACAGTCTTCAAACTCGAACAGGGTTTGACGCACAGGGTTGGAAAATGAAATATTACCATAGTCAACAAAGGTAATGGTGCGAACACCCCAGCCCTTAAAAGACAAGAAAACAAAAAGTACAATTATTACGCTGGACACTAAATATGGTTGTGACACAGGTGGCTGAAGTCTTTGCTTTGATACCAATGGTAAATATGCATATTAAGAAATCTCTATTTAAACCTCACACCTAATGCTTGTTCATTACATTGTAGTGACTGAGCATTCGAAAGGATAAAGAAAATTTTTATCAACTGGTTATCCCTTTCAATGATTGTAACATAATTTTCAATAATGATTTCTGATAGTTTCATTATAATTCACAAACATACCATGAGGCATCTTGCCACATTACAACCAAGAGTTCCAGCACCAAGCAGGAGGCACTTGGTTTGTGAAATTTTGTCAAGTTCCAGTGATGGTAACAGTCTCCATTGCATTAGCTTCAAGTTAAGGTCCACAGATGAAGACGCAAGCCTATGGTTGAATTGCAAATTAGATATTTTGTCAAAAGAAGTCGGATTTCCATAGCATGATGCNTTTTGAAATATTGTGGTATTTGCCAATTTTTTTTGCTGTATCGCAGCATTCAGAACCTCCCAATGTCCCCCTCACAAAGCTATGCCAAAAACCTCAACTTACGTCCTTTGTAAAATAGGCAAAGTTTTACAAAAATCTCAGTGCAGGTTCTATTTCAGTGAAATGACCTTAAAACTGTTTTCGCAAAACAAGGGAGGATAAAAAATAAGGCTTGAAATATTCTCAGCTATTGGGTCTTTTCTAGTTATGTAATGTAATGTGTCATGTGACCTGTCAGAAACCTCATTGATGCTTTTAAAATACAATATTTATGATAGTAAAACCTAACTGCATCCTGAAACTTGATTTCTGACTGTCATATTTGCTGTCAAAATAGTTATAAAAACTAGAATGATTTGCCCACGCAAGTTTTCAGAATCAAAATTTGTTTCTCACCTCTGAATCATCCACACTAAAAAATGTCTTCCATTCATTAACATGACCCAAAGTGACTGTACTACCAGAGATCTTGATGAGAAAAAATCCAGGTCCTAATCACAACAAGTAAGGAACCTTCCCTGAGTTCTGGACATACAGTTACAGATCAAACAGTAGTATAATAAAATTATTAAATTATCAAAATTATTTTGTTAAAACTACTTAATATGATAGCATATTGTATCAGCTGTAAAAAATGTTATTACTCACCTAGGCCATTAATGCTGAGAGAATCATATGATGACTGGAGACTAGCAATCTAGATTGTGATAACAACAGTTTATTAAATTAACATAAACTTTTATTTGTACATGTACACCTCTGTAGATGGAAATATTGTAAAATTTACTGTAAACAAGTCAATGTTTTGGTTGCTAGATAAAATGTGCACTCTCTGAAACTGACAATAGAAACAGAGCACCCAGAGAGGATGACGTCTTTGTACATGTAACAGTATTTAATTACTTAATCAGTTGAATGGAAAGCCAGAAAGAAATTATAAGCTACATGTAGAAGTAACACGGGATCGGCTATTTACTGAGTTAAAAGTTGAGTTAAGTTTGAGTTGAGTTTGAGTTGAGTTTGAGTTAAGTTTGAGTTAAGTTTGAGTTACTGTTTTTTAACACTTTTGACTAAAAACGTACTAAAGAAAAGTTTCACATCCCTCTTTCCTGAAAATAATTAGGCATTGACATTTCTCCAATATGCCTCAGTGCTTATAATCTATGTGCATCGACATTGTGCAAGCACTCACACGTTTCGTTTGAAACCAGGCAGTTTCCAGACAGAGACATTTGTATATCAGTGGATGCTCTATATATACCGGCTAATGAAACAGCTGGTGGGAAGAGCTTTGATGTGGAATTGAACATACCTTTCGATTTTGTGCAAGAAAAAGGTGTATCAACACACAACCAAAACAAAGTAATTTGATTGTGCCTAAAATAACTGTCTGCAGTCTGCATTTTGTACCTAGCCTGCATTTTGTACTCGGTCTGCAGTCTGCAGTCTGCATTTTGTACTGACCGGTGAAATTACCTGCTTATTTTCCATAAAAGGTGATCAGGATCGCTCATTTAACACTTGTTTTAGTGAAAAATATAGAAAATGGTATCTCAAACTTAACTCAAAATTAACTCAAACTCAACTCAGACTCAAGTTAAACTCAACTCAACTCAACTCCTAACTCGGTAGTTATCTTATTTCAAGTAACACAGTATATAAATTAAATGCTATCCATGAATGAGCCAAAATTCTTTTTCCTTGCATGCACAGTTAAAAACAAACATTAACTTCATTTCATGTGTATTTTGACGGGCATGTTTCAAACATAAAATGGCAAAATGAAAAAACGGCTCTACAAGAAAGAGACACCGTGGGATATGGTGTCTGTATTAAGGGTTAACTCACAAAATTACTGAGAGCTAACCATTGCTGATTCAGTGATATTTTAGCCTAACTGAGTGCTGTTCAGGCTAACTGGACCAGAGTGCTATTTAGGCTAACTGTAGTGCAGTGCCATCTCGTTATTTCACCATTTTTTGCTTAAACACACCCTATTCTAACCTGCATAGGCGTAAAATAATCACGAAGTGAAATAGGAGAAGACACACTGACAGCACTGGTCTCAGGACACAAAGCAGGAAAGGCAAACCAGTAATAGAACTTGTACTTCTTCAGGTCCTGAAGACAAGCATTAATACACAACAAAATTAATTGTCTCACTTGTATCATAGAAAAGCTATATTTGTCCATACTTAGAAGCTTGATTGAACATATTATAAAACTGTAGCATATATTACTGCACCTTTCAACAACATTCAGACTCTAAAATCCAAAGTTCAACTGACAAATGTGTTTTTCGCTACCGTCAATCAAATGTTTGGTGGCTCCTCCCAGGTTCCAGCTACTGCTGAGCATGTGGTAATCAAATCATTGAGCACAGTTCAGACAACAAAACAGTGCTCGGCAATAGTTGGAAGCTAGGAGGAGCAGCCNCATGACCAGATTGTAAACAATGTTCGGCAAGTGCGGATTTCTTGGGATGTTTTTGTACAACGCTTTTTGGTGTTCTCTGAGCGGAGTACTGAATTTCCGTTTGGTCTCCCTGATGTACATGTACATGTAGTGTTTGTCGCAATCTTTGCATGGAATGGAATAGATAAATAAACTTGTTACTTCTTTATATTTTTTATTATCCCTGAAGAAGGCTTACGTTAATAGCTGAAACATTGGGTTTTAAAGAGTTTTTAATAGCTTTTCTCAACCAGTGTAACATTTTTATATTTATCACAAATAAGCTAGTCTAGTGGTTCAGGGAGGGGGAAAACCAATATACTTATCAGTTGACATGTACATGTAGCAGGCCTCTGAAAATGAACCATTGTCTGGATGGCAGGCCAGGATTTAATGAAAAGATTGGCAGCAGACTTGTATCCAAAATTGATGTTCTCATGCATTTTGAGTTTCTCCAGGTTGGCCCATTGTCACAATAACTCAGGGGGGATTGGAAGCTCTCACATCATACAACTAAAACGCAAGTGTCACTCACAGCAAAGGTGATAAGCACAAACTGACCAAGCACTGATGGGTCCTCTATAGCTTTCCCTGATTTTATAGAATCCCATATCTACAAAAGAAAGTAAGTCAGAGAGTTATTATTAACTATTTACAGTTCAAACCTAAGAGCATCCATTCAGTGTGCTTGTCTTGTGTAAATTTGCCTGTGTTTGATACTGATATTTTAACAAGATAATTTGGTTTTATCAACTGAGTTGATAATGTGAATTGGGCACCATAAAGAGATTTGAAAGCTGACATTTCGAACGTTAGCCCTTCGCCGGAGCGAATCCGGATTCACTCCAATGAAGGGCTAACGCTCGAAACGTCAGCTATTGAATCTCTTTACAGTGGCCAATTCACATTATCAACCCAGTTGATAAAACCAAATTATCTTGTTATACTCCCCACCAACACAGCACCACAGTTTCTTTAGAAAGTTACCCCCTCTATTCATTTGATATTTTAACTTCCTGAGACAAATAAAATGTTGTTTACAAGTCAGTCAGTGGTGTTGACTCTAGTATTACAAACTTGATTGGTCAGTTTTGCCATGTTGTTGTTACTTGTTTAATGTTGTTCCCAAGCAGAGTAAAGGAGCTGGCCTGGGGACTCAGCTGTGATTCATTTGCTATCAGTTCTGTCAAGTAATCAGCTTACATGTAGGAGAACATAACAGGATACCCAGTGTTGTACGTAATATATCAGACACAAGAGACAGTGTTTCATCAGAATATCCAAACACCGGGAAGAGAGTTGAAAGTAATGACACGCAGCGGAGCATTTTTGACAACATTTGAGGTGTTGGGATTAGTCGGTGAAACACTTTCTCAAGTGTTTGAAATATCTTCTCAATCAAAACAAAACTTAGGAGTAAAATGAGCAGTAAAATCATCAAATTCTATGCTAATTAAGACCAAGTATCCAAACCTCCTTCAATTAATGAGTTTGAGAAGTATCATTTCAAGTAGTGTTTTGTTTCTTTGTGGTTTGGGAAGGTGTTTTCAATGGCGTGACAAACAAGGTGTGGATCACTTGACCATCACTTGTAATCACTGCATGTCCCTTTTAGGTGGCAGAATACTGTGTATACTGTCAGTATGTAAGACTTTACTGAGACAGGAAGTGTGGAAGGTCTGCAGCTCCTTCAGATCATGTACAGTCATTCTCCAAACATCTAGTTAGTTGTAATCATAAAATAATATTACATTGAGCAGTGACTATGTACTAATCAACTTCCAAGTCGATTAGTACATAGTTAGTTAATCAGTCGACGAGAGAGTAGTCTCCAGAAATGTAATGACTGTCTATCCCTGTCTGTGACTAGTCCTTGATAAACTTTTCATTGCAATATTATGTAAAAAATATATAATATGAGCTTTTGCCTCTTTGACTGCAACCTTTTATGAATGATAGCCATGACACATTTGTCTTCCTATTCTCATTACCACACTACCTGTTGTCCAACTGACTGAATGAGCTCCATTTTATTGTAAGTTCTAAAAGCTTCAACAGTGTTTGTGTTGATCAAAACCCCTTGCATGGGAAATGTTCTTTGTGGTACTGGCTTTTCACTGCAAAAAAAGTACAATGTATTACATTTAAATTTAGTGAAAATCAGGCAAGAAAACACAAGTGAGTTTGTCCAATACCCAGTTTGCAGTTGAATGAAGAGCTATTTAATGATGTTCGTTGATGTTACAAAAACTGTTTGTTTGTGTACACAAGAACAGAAAACTTAAACTGGCAAGTGGCATAAATGAACATATCTCAATAAAGTTTGGGACACACAAGCAAACCTCAAAACTACAAAATAATTACCATCGCTGTTTGCAGTTTATTTTTCTTGCACCTATTTGGCTTTTTCCTAGCTATATAATAACATTCAATAAATATTTCTGGTGTTCACGGTTTTCTGAGTTTCACAGTAATAAAAATATGTGATAAAAAATATCTGATAATTAATATATTACAAGAAAATCATAATCAAAATTTTAATACATGGGATTGAATAAATATTTCTCTTTGAGGGTAGATTTTAAATTTCCTTGTATATTTGACAGTCAATCAATCAATCAATCAATCAATAAACTTTATTTAAGTGTCTAAAACTTCTGGTCAGCCTGGAGGACGACTAATCGGGAGCACTCCCAATAAAATTACTAATAAATTAAGTTAAGTTAAGTTAAAAGTTCCCTATCACTTCTTACGGTATATATACGTATCTAAAATTCCATTTATATTTTAAAATACAGACTAAAATATAATAATTTCTACCTAATAACTATATACAAACTTCAAATATGTCTAAAATTCTAATGGCATTTTAAACACACTTCACACAATTTCCTGTGCAGACATATAACATTTGTTATCATGCTTTGCATACACTCCCAGATTAAGAGTGCAAGGGATAGTGCCAAGAGGTACTTGAGAGTGAAAGGAGAGGAGGCTTTGTGAAGGGAACCACAACTGCAGACCAAGCACAAGATTTTGTGACAAGCTTAATGACTGGATGGTAAACATAGATCACCGTTAAGCAGAGATGACAGCTACTCCTCGTGTAATTTATACTTACACTTTTTATACTTACTTTTTATACGCACTTTTTATACTTACTTAATTTATACTTATGCTTCATGTAATTTATACTTACACTGAAAAAGCATTGTAATCCAGGTTAAAACGACATAGAAGACCAGCAGGATCACCTAAAGTAAACGTATAATTTTTGTTTAACAAGAAAATTGAAAACTAAAACATAAAGATGCAAAAGTGGATCAATCTTAACATTTGCACATGGCGTGGAGTATGTAGTAATAAAACATGTTCTATTTTATCCCAAATTTAGACGTCTTTAAAAAATTAAATGACAAATAATAGAACTAATGGCCACCATATTTCAATAAGTCAAAACTCAAATGGCTCCAAGGCTTAGGGGAATAAAATAAAACAAATCATATGGGATGAATAGTGTCTTCAATTTTTTCCCCTAAGCATCAGAGCTAAGTTAGAAATTCTGCATTTTGAAATTCAACTGTTGGCAAACAAAAACTGTTTGTTTAAGTATCATTTGTTTTGATTGGCAAAGGGTAGGTGATGTGAGGGCAGACTTAAAGCTTGGGATGTTTCAGACCCTCTGTAAGATGCCGTAAGAACAATAAGCATTGTAATCCAGGTTAAAATGGGGTATCTCTCTTTGGATGTAATAATGCATCAAAGTACATGTAAACAGTGCTATTTTTCCCAAAAATCTCAAAAAACATGTGGATTCTAAAACAAAAAATTATCAGAACCAGGAATATAATTTGTATTTTTATGTGAAACATGATTTAGCCTTTGCATTTTTAAATGAAACCTGATTGCTTGCTAATTTCTGTAAATGTGAAGCTGTTTTTCGAATTTTTCGTGATGCGTGAAACTGTTTACAGAAGAGGTATAGGGGACCCTCTCTCCAAACCACTCTTGGCTATCTCCACTTGCCTGTTTTTTTCCTTTCCCTATAAGTTGGCAGAGATCTTGTACACCAATTGAGAAGATGTCTACGCCACCTTTGCCATGCTTTAATATACAGGCAATATTTGTATCAAAGCTTTACCCCTGCAAATCCTCTTCTGTGCGACAACTTTTTTATGTCTGTGAAATAACTTGGCTTTTGAATTCAGTAAGGTCTTAATGATGACCTCTATTCAGTGGTACACGAACTTTTTCTTCGTGTAGTCTCTCATTGCTAACACAACAGTCTTCTCAAGCAGCATAACTCTATCGTCTCTTATCATTTCAGCTGTTTGGGATAACAATCTTTCAGACCTTTCATATGATACCTGAATTCGGATAAATGGACAAAAATAACGCTGAAGCTCATAGTCCTTGTGTAAAGTTCAAATATTTCCAATCATCTTATTCCTATTGTGTCATAATTGTTTGGACCAATGGTACCATGAAGATTCACGAAGATCAAAGACATCAGAGGTCAAAAAAAGGACGAAAAAGACCAGAAAATGGTGTAACATCTGCCAAGATTTTTTGATCTTTTTTAATACGCTATTAACTATTTACTTGGAATGGGATGTATCCTTCTAGTTCAAAGAACGTTCACTTATCACAGAAATCTAATTGGTAAGTTACGTATCGCGTGCTTGTAAAATAGGAAATCACGCATCATGTTATGATGTCCTGTCCCCCGTCACGCAGCTAATTTGGTTCTAATCACGCGTCATGCTGCTAATTTTGGCGCTATCACCCGTCACGTAAAAACCCTTTGCCACCCTCTTCTCTTGGAGTGTTTATGGGCATCAAACAAGCCTTTCATATCTAACCAATTAACCAGTTTTATTATATCTGCTGTAAATGAGAGGAGATGTTTGCCTGCAGAATATTAGGCTTAAATTACCAAATCTCTTACTAACACAAAACATGGTGGCCAACTGTAACCACGAAGCAACCACAAGGATTGCAGGCTTATATAATAAAGTTAAATCACACTACATGTACGATACAATGAATTATAATGTAACGCAACACTCGCAGTGTTCAAGTCACGCAACTCTTGCAGTGTTCAAGTGTCTAGAGGGCCTTTAAGAGGGCCATTTACAATGTCATTTACACCACAATATCTAGTCACATTACATTTACATAATTTTCTGTAAAATTCTGCTTGTCAGAGCCAAGAAAGTGTTACTTTAACAAATGGTTACTGTCCAACAGTGCTTAACTAAACCAATTTTAAACCTAATATTTACAGAACATCTTATAGAAACAATTATATTACAGCATTTAAATTAACTATTTGAATAAAAGCTTAGCAACCTAGAAATACGAAAACAAAGTAAGGATAAAACGAAAAGGAAGAAAACAGATCACAAGTTTTTCACATTAAAGGTTACAGTGTATAATATTTATTTACAAAAGACAATTGACATCATGTTGATTAGGAAAAGATCTCATTTGCATTTAAGCTTATTTTGAACGCACTATGAGTAAGCTTACATAAGCTCAATAAGTTTACATAATATCTAAAATTACTGAAAAAGGAAATGAAATGAAAACGAAAGTCTTGTATATTTTAAGAATACTTACTGTTTACGTAATATCCCTGTAGAGGTTTGGGTTTATCGTCTAACTGATATATTTCAAGTTTATTTTGAGTGAGTCTATGCCAAAACGCGGCGTCAACAGCACTAGAATACGGTGCAAACTGCACTGCACTCTCCACAACAGCCGCCATATTTGTGTCACACACTACGGTATGTAACGGCCCTGAATAGTGACCAGTAGGTAGTCAGGGTTGGGTGTGATTCCTATGCGAAAAAAAGAAAGAAACTCGTATTTCTTGAATGGCTGTCAGTGTTAGAATTTTGTCTGTTTTTAGTACTGCATTCACAGCGTTCCCTTTCGACCTCATAAAAAAGTTCCCTTCATGGTCGAACTGGAAGCGGATATTGCAAACGTCGACTCATAAAATAACCTTCTCAAAGAGTAACGCAAGGGTCATTGTGGGTGAAAGAACAGAACGTCAGCTATTTTCGACCTTTGCAATGAAAATGTCTCAATTTCTTACATTTTAGTCGATAAACTTCGAAGAGTTAGCCACTATGCGTCAGTTTCTCGTTTTTCAGAGTGATTAGGATATAATCGATCACGGAATACCTATTTCCGCCTCCTGCTTCAATACAGGAACACGTGCAGTTTTTACTCCTTAGACGATGTCACGCACCCACAACCAATCAGATCGACCGTCAGATGACAAGGTTTGGTCACGGGGTCTTCGTCATGACTAATTCTTTTCATTCCTGAACACAAATCGCATGTTTGTTTCTATTTATGACATGGTGCAGTCTGAAACAAGCTTCTAGGGGCAGGGACTTCACCACAATTCCCTCTGTCTGAGGGAAAAACAATTATGGTAAGCTCTCGTTGTTGAGAAGTTCATTTCTTATTGCGCTGTCGACAGTTAAGGTTAAAGTTTGTTCAATCCGTCAGATAATGGAGACTCCACTGGATGTCCTGTCACGAGCAGCGTCCCTAGTACAGCCAGACACCAGAGAAAGTAAGTTGCAATAAAGGTTTTACTGTTGTTTTAATTTACCCCGATTGAAATGCATTTAGAGGTTTTATGGAGCTTATATTTAGTTCGCCGCACGTTAATACGTAAAGGTATGCTTAGCTCTTAAATATGCGAACATGCCAGTTTCTCCATGTATATTTTCGTTCTGTTCGACTCCCCACGACATCGTTAAACCACTAAAAACTAGCAGTTCGAATTTTTCACTCATCTCTCAAACTCCCGACGATTTAGCGATTTGAACTTGAGTTACTAAGCAGTATACAACCATCATAGTTATGCTATGCTTGGTATGGGAAAAAATTGCTCGTTATGCTAATAAACAAAGAATTCATATTTGACATCGGTGCATAAGCCTATGTTATATTCCGCTCGTAGGCAGCCCACCTAAAACCAATATACTCTTTTTATTTACAATAATTTTCTTAGGTAAATCAATGAGTTGTTTTCTTTGGACCGTTCGACTACTCTTTGACGTGATATTCAAGCATTAATTTATCAACCATTGTGAATCAGCGTGCACGTTGCTTGCATCACTAACATTCCATGAAAATTTTTAGACTATTATAATTCTCCGGTTACTAAACGATTCTTACCGTAATCTTTAGTCGCTCTCTGTCAAAGAAAGCAACGTTTATGAAAGAAAAATATCTCAGTTCTTCCCCTATTTGTTCTTGATGGTGCGAAGTTTCACCGTGGAGAACAAACAAGGTTAGAACTATTAGTGGGGATTCAAAAGAAATGTTGGTTTGATTTTCGTGTTTTGATACCGGAATGTGAACTAACATGTATCTCAAATCGTTTGGTTTAGAATCGGAGACAGAAGCAGGCGAGGAATCACCTAAGGTAATGCCATCAGCTGAAAACCGGAGAAAGCGAAATCTTGAAAGAAGAGACATCGCACAAGCGTTGAATTTTGATGATAATCGTTTAGAAAAACTCTCATCGGTGAAGACAGCTGGAACTCAAACGTAAGTGTACTCTCAATAAAGTAGTGATGACGGTTTAGTGCATTTTGACATATACTGTACAGGTCATAACTTTTACAGAGAAACAAGAACGTTAAGCTACAGAACGAGATCTATTATTCCTTGGAAAAGTTGATTTCTGAGCTCAAAATAAACACGAAAACATGTCTCTACACGTGAAGCAGATCTGCAAAACAGCCTCTCTTAGCGGTCCCTGGATATCGGTTTTCATGACATAATTTTTTACACCACTCTAGCTTACGTTTTTTGCGGTTTCTGTTCTATTTATGGCTGCTGTATGTAAACTAGTCAAAAAATTCAGCTCCACGACATTCTTCAAATTTTTATGCAGGCAACAATAATTATTATTAATATAACTTAACAACTAATGTTCGTTAGGTTGATGCAAGGCAACTATATGACAGACTTCAAAGGGTCTGATCTTTTTACTGAGGGCATTAACTACGTTCTGACAGTTATTTAATCACACGCACTGGTTGAGTTTTGTAAGCTGATTGCTCATCATTCACATGTACACCTTTGGCAAGAAGAAAACCTCAAGCTCAAAGTGAAGCTTGATCAATGGTAGAACAATTATACAGAGAAAATAGAGACTGGTCAGGGCTGTGGATCCATTTAAGATATGTTTTAGAAAATAATCCAAAGCAAATACGTGTGCTGATTTGTTTAAAACCGTGTTTCTATTAAACAGTTAGATTATGAGCTGGAGATTTCCTATTGCGTGGTGGTTGACAAGGATGCAGCCTGAGTCAACTATCATGCATAGAAATAGAGAGTGAATAATTTAATTGTTTTAGTATAAATTTACTGGTCGTTCAGAACTTTATCTAAAGCCTCTTCACGGACACTTCAAAAACGTCAAGAAGTGGCCATCATTTCGTTAACAAGCGCACATTGCTACGCTATTCATTACATGTATCTATCACAGAATAGGCAGTAAGTAGCATAGCCAATCAGAGAACAGCATTCGTGATAGAACGCTAGTAGATTTATACTAACACTCAACAGAAACACAAAACTAGCATGAGCGGATGAAGTAATGATGGCATGTGCAAAGAGAATTTACATTTTGATGATCAAAGTAAACAAGTTGTTTTCCTTTTTTGTCACAGTATTTTCTAAAAGTAATAGAAAACATGTTCTCCGTGTTTCTATCGAGTTATAGAGACACTGGTGAAAGTTTGAGAGAACTGGAAAAAGCTGTGGAAACACTCATCTGTTGGCTTGTGTTCCCACAGCATTTCTCGTTCTCCTAAACTTTCACTCCTGTTTCTATTAAACAATTAGATTATTCGCTCTCAATTTCTATCATGTATAGAAATCAAGAGTGAATAGTCTAATTGGTTTAGTATAAATCTACTAGTCATTCAAAACTTTATCTAAATACTCTTCACAGACACCTCAAAAATGCCAAGAAGCGGTCATCATTCTGTTAACAAGCGCACACTGCTAGTGAGTAGCATAACCAATCAGAGAACAGCATTCGTGATAGAATGCTAGTAGATTTATACTGAAACTCGATAGAAACATGGTACATGTTTTCAATTTTTTAAACATTCCATTGCATGGGGCACAAAACAGAGAGTAAAATTAATAGTAATTACTAAAACAACAAAACACTTTTTTTCTCCCTAAAACATCAAAAATTTGCTTTAATTTTCACTTGACATGTGTTTTTTTATTTACTTATTCTTCTGATAGCTTATGAACTTGTATAGTGAGGAACACATTTGCAATGTATGAGCAACATGTTTCTGAATCAAAAAATCACAAATGATAGACCCTTATCTTTATATAATGGCTATCATTTTAGAAATATTCGTTGATACAGTCGAAGCCCTATTAAGTGGCCACCTATTAAACAGCCACCCCAATTAGGCAGCTAGTAATCAAAGTCTCAATGAGGACTTTTCTATTGTTTCAACTTCTATTAAGTGGCCAGCCCCTTTTAAATGGCCACTATCCATTTCCCCAGGGGTGGCCATTTAATAGGGCTTGAACTGTACACATTTGAATTAGCCTCACTAAACTCATTTGAGAGGACAATTTCTTTTCTAATTATCAACTCAAAAACAAAGTTAGTCAGGCTAGGTTAAATACTTACAAAATAATTTATATTGCATGAAAAGGGTCTATTAAAGCAACGTAAACACTGAAGAGCTAGTTTGTTTGGACAGTTTTAAAGACTAATAGTGTGGCTACTCCAACCAAGATCACCCAATGAAATTCTTTATAAATTGAACAGTAGCGTTTGAATATTAAAACAATAGAAATGGTTGCCAATCAATTGTTGCTGACAGTGCACAGCCATGGCTTCCTCAGATTGATATTTATTTTTCAGAAAACTATTGTTTTCATTCATTAAAATTGCACGGAATTTTGTGGGAGTAGTCACACTGCAACAGAGGTGATTGTAAAACGATATACATGTACCATTATCACTTATTATGCTTGATAGGTTTGAGTGAACTAGGAATAAAAAGTAATACAAACAAACAGCTTTCAAAACATAATTTCGTCAGTGCATGCAATATTATTAATGATTACCCTATGAAACCACCTTCAACTGAACTCTCACTTACAAGAGTCTCATGTAGGTTACTTATTCCCTGAGTGTAACTTTTATAAGCATCACAACTATGTGAGAAGTGTACAACAGCCAGTTCAGGAAATTGATACTAAACTTATGTTGGTGTTGCAGGTCCCCTTTGCAGACTGTAAACCCTGTATCTGCAGCAAAGTCAAGAATTGATTCTGGGCCACCTCCTCTGATTTCAATTGTTCCAAAATCAGAAGATAATGGATATATGCATTCTCACTTACCTCCACACTCTCGACCATCTGTAATCACATCCACTAACATCATGCGAAGGCCAGTTGGTTTTATGGGACCATCACACCTGTATGGCCCTGCGGAAATGTTTTGTTATCCAGGCCCTCACAGACGTGAAATTGTTGAGTCAGGAATCATTGATCCTTTTGTAGAAGAACACTTTCGTAGAAGTCTTGGTGAGGACTATAAGTGTGTGAGCCCAACATCAATGTCTACAGCAGGTTCAGTTGACGATCACTTTGCAAAGGCTCTTGGCGACACGTGGCAAAAGCTAAAGAAATCTGAAGTATCCACTCAATCATCAAATCCACCTCAGCTGCAGTCAATTATCTCACCTGCAAACTGAGTATTGGTTTTGTCTTCCCTAAATACTCTTCAGATTACTGAAAAACAGACCCTGCAAGGTGTGCACTGTTTTCAGTGTCCTGCAGTTGGTTGAGTCCCCTGTCAAATGTTCATGAGTGGCAGTGGAAGATAAACCCTTAGAAAATTCAGCTATGTGTAAATGAGAAAGTTATAAATCACTGCAAAGTTGAGTTTATTTAGAGTGTAGAGAACCTGCAATGCTTGAACTTTTCAGTTCAAAAGATCATTTCAGGTATATTTTGACTTGCTTTCTGTTGAATGTGCCTTGAGTTACATACTAAGTTGAATTCTACACAAATCATCAAGCTTTACCCTTCCTCAACGTTATCAGTTGTATGGTAAGGCCATTCTGCAGGGTTACCATCTGTTTTAAAAAAAGGGAATCTGTTTGCATAGTTATTTTTTATACATGGAGAAAAAGAAAATTGAAAAGAGTTAATTAATATGTACAATAAACAAATTCAGCCACTTAGTTATTAATGATTTTTCACTTTTCTTTATTTTTAAGCAACTGTTAAATGTAAGGTTCATTTTGTCAGTTATCAATGAGGGGTAGTTATGGTTCATCGTACATTTTTTTTTATTATTAGTACCAAAAAACTTGAGCAGATTCCTTACATTGAATTTAGTAAACTAGACAGGTTTTACAAAGTAAAACTATTCGTGACATTTGACACCAATCAGATTTCAACAAGCTACTTCCAACAATATGTTGATTTTCACAAAAGAAGTTTGGATACAGTGTGATCATTATTTTTCAGTGATTTTTAGACCAATATTATTGTTACATGTAAGATCTACATGTATTTGGGAAAGACAAGATTAAACAAATTAGGGAAACTAGACTTTTTCTTTCAAGAACACTGCCATGATTGCTTTTAGTTTTGCATAAGAACCATTTTAGCTATTAAACTAGCTCTAAAACACAGGAGTCTGCAACTGACTGACCTGACTCAATCAGTATCCTCAAGGCTATGTCCAGTCAGTACCGGTACAAAAATGGTCTGGTCCAGCTATGTGTCCTTCATATGAGGCAGATTCAGTGCCAGTTTCGTACATGATCAACACAAGCAAATCCTTTGCTAAGAAGTCTCTGACCACATTAGTTTGGAGACTAGTCCCGTGGGAACATAGCCAATGGGCTTTAAGGTCTTATAGGGTTGGTCCAGTTTGAGTCACATTTTTGGCCTGGATCATTTGGAACCGACTCTGTGAGAGCATAGCCTAGCAAAGTTAAAAATTATCTTGTGGATTGCATTAGGTAGGCACAGGCATTTTCGTAGGCTTTTTGAATTTCTGTCAACTTGTTACTCCGCTTGTAACATTGTATTTGGTCAGGTTACCATTTGTGTGGCAGATCAGATCTGTTCACATTGTTGACTTGTACCCTGATGACTCTTGGTGCAAGTCAATTGATATGGTGTTGGAGCAAGTAGTGCGACAAGTTGTTAATTATAGAGCTCGTAAGATAATTGTAACATAGTGTGGACACAGGTGTCGAGAGCTATTTAATATATTGTGTAGTAATTAATGTAAATATCTTTACGGTTGCTAAGAAGTTTATTAAACCTTGGTTTAATCGTCTCTGGTAGTTGTTATTTTGTAGTGTTTGATGTAAAGGTAATTAAGGTGCTTTGGATCTCATATCTTTTAAGTGTGGAGTTCTTTTGAACGAAGCATGATACATACGGGCTGGCTGATGAGACTGTCGACTGGAGCAGGGGCATGTTCCTAGTGCGTCCACCTTGAACAAGCTCCACGTTTGGAAATTTTACTGTGAACCTCTTTATTCATAGACTGTGCCACAAGTCGACCCCATGACTTTCAGGGTAGCATAGCTAAGCGAGCGAAGCGAGCTGCGGGGTTTTAGGTCGCGAAGCGGCTGAACGAGCGACGAAGTCGAGAGAGGTCGATCTTCCTCTGGCGGGTAATGAATAAACAAGACGAAGAACTTTTCTGAAAGTCTACTTTATTCACTGCTTGAGCATTGAATCCTAAAACGGTATTGCAAAGGAGAGAGTCTTCAGTTCCATGTCTCCATTTATATTGTGCATGCCTTCGCGGCTTGAAGTTCCATGTGAAAACTAGAAAGTTTGCGTATCGTTCGTAGGAAACCTATTGATGTCACCTTGACTGTACTTGATGGATGAATCCCTCTGCAGATTACATATAGATGTAGACGTACTTTTGTTGATCTATGTTTCTCGATCCATTCCATCTACTTTCACTAATAGCCTATGTCTGATCTCGCCCCCGCCACTACCTGGAAGCCGGTGTAAACTTTTGAGACTTGGGCTTACTGGCTCTTTCCCATTGGTGTAAGTGTTTCTTTTTATGGGGTCAAGCAAGGGCTACGTGATAAGCAAAGCACCAAACCCCAACCTTGAGGGTTAAGGGCCGTCCTTCGCCAATCTTTGTAGTTAACTGTCCAGCTATCAGTAAACTTAATTTGTGTATGCATATCGTATATTTGCTCTCGTTTTACCCGTGACCAGAGTGGATTCATCGGTACCTTTGATGCACCATGATCCGAGTGATCTTGGATCACTGAGCTGGATCCAGATCATCCCAATGGAACGCACTCTAAGCGAAGAAGGCTCAAACATTGGTACGCATAAAGGGAGCAGCCAAATTCCTTCTACTAATTACAGTCATGCAGAGAGGCATGCCAGCCGGCAGTTATAGCTTGCTCCAAGACATTCAAGATTAGTTCTGTGTGCGAGTCCTTGATCTGTCCAAATTACAGTGGCCACAGAGTGATGCATCTCTACACTCAAGCGAGCCGAGTGAGTTGCTCAGAATTAATTTTCCCCAAGTCGTGTTAATTTACCGTTACCAAGTTCTGTTTCAGATTTTCCCGTTCCGAAGAGAGAGAAGTCCAGCGTCAGAGATGTCAAATGCTGAAGTCAGGAACATGCATGTGTAAACAGGATGACAACATGGCTAAATTGGCAAGAAGGATATATACCAGATGGGAAAAGGAAGCGGGGTAGACCCAAAAGGGGGTGGTACTCGAAACCCGGCTCAAAAGGAGGGCCAAAAGGCCGCACTAACTGGAGGAATAGCAATACTATGGAGGCCTTGTCGCATTGGCCGACAAGATCAGAAGATGGTGATCATGATGATGGTCGGGGGCCTCCGAGCTCGTTTAGGAGGAAACGAACATTTATTTTGGGTATAGTGAAACCTGTATTAAGCGGGCCCCATATTTAGCGGACACCCTCTGTTAGGTAGACACCAGCTTGAATCCCAAATTTTTCTTCCTACATTTATTGTAAAATAAACCTGCATTCAGCGGACACCTCTATAATGCGGACACCAATATTAAGCCATTTTGTGGCACAAAACCTGGAATAAGCGGACACTTCAAGGGCTTTTTACTTCTGAAAGCTCAGCTCGGACTCTATCTGAACATTGTTCAGCGAAGTCGTTTTAAAGCTAAGTAATACTGGTCAGCGGATAGCTTGTCTTGGCATTAACCATAATATGGTGCTGATGGATGCCCAAAATCAAAGGTGTGTAGCTATGGTAATGGTGCTATTCTCTTATTTTTTTTAAGGCCTTTTGTATTGGCGCCATGTATATATTTAGCCAAGCGTAAAAGCGGAGTTCCTGGGCCGCGTTGTTCAAAACCTGAATAAACTAACCCAGGATAAAGGTTTTTTTTTTAACTTGGCGGTGAGGTTTTCTGTTTATATTGTTTGTACGTCTGAGTTTCAATTATCTCAAACTACACAAAACATAAGCAGTGGAAAACATATTTATTCAAGAAAAATTATTTACACTTTGGCAATTGGTAAACTTTTAATCCTGGTTTAGCATAAGGCGGGGGTTAACATGAAGGCCATATTTTGGCTGAGTGTTATGGTTTGATTGCAAATATCTCGTTCACGTTTCAAACAGTGAAAAATCTCTCTGCTCATTTCACATAGCTACGTTTTGGGCTGGTTTGTAAATTTTTTGGTGATTTTTGGGCATAGTTGGGGATAAATAGTTTTTCTCAAAGGATTAGTAAAATTTATGGAATACGAAATTTTGAAGATTTGATGTTGTTTTAAAATTAGAATTTGAATTTAGAAATTGGTAGACGTACACCAAACAGTTGCCCACCAACCCGGGGTGCCCTTTTGAGGGCAATCAACTGTCTTGTGGTGTTCCAAACTCCTTTTTATCCTTTTAACCCCTCTTTAAACTTCCTAAAATTTCACTTAAATTCATGTGTACCTCCGCCTTAACCGGCTCAGTTCCGAACAACTCAGCCCTTGTTACAGTAATTTAACCTGGTTTAAGCCTGCGATCCAATCGAAAAGCCGGTACTTCGTCAGTGGTTAACTTCACAAAACACGTTACCTCAATGAGCTCAAAACTTGAGCCCGCAATGTGCTCAAGCGATACTGGTCAGTGGATACTTTGTTTTGACAGGTGTCAATTGACCACTCAAAGATGTACGCTGTAAACCAAGGTCGCATGTTCTATTAGCTGGAGTATGGGCGCCATGTTGTGCGACGTCGCCGTCGTCGTCGTCGTGCGTACGTGCTCACGAATAATATTGCTAGCCATTTTTACCACGAGAAAAGCAATTCACGGGTTCCTATGAGTCTAGGACGTATAGGGCTCCGTTTGGCGGCCTTTGGGGCCGCCGGAGCACGTACAGACAGTCACGTGACAACCAAAATTATTTAGAGCGATCGGTTACCAAATATTTTCTAAGGTGTCGGGCTCCGTTCGCGCCGCGCGCCTTCAGCGCGCAGGAACTCCGCTATTATACAAATGAACATAAAATGTGGTTAAATTAACATCATATCAGTATGACAATAATTAAAATATTATAACAGTAAACTCCATATATGCAAACCTAGCAAATGTGTAATAATTTTTGCAACCTGAGGTCGAGGGTTTACAGTGACAAAAAAGAACCATAAGCGCTTGCGCTTCACACTCTTGTCCCAGGCTATCGCTCTTATTTGAAGTAAGCTAAGTTGGTGTACTGGAAGCTAGAGTTTGCCGCCATGTTTGAAAACAGGCAAAAACAAAAATATGGCAGAACTGTCCAACGAAGAGTTCAGAAAGAGTCTTTTTACAACTTTTCGGAGTCGTGGCGTGTTAGAGGCTCTGAAGGTGAGCTCTTCAGTATTAAAGTGATTTATCCTAGGTTATTATCACTGATGTCCAATACTCCATGTACGAAATAATATATTTTTTGTAGTAAGTACGTTTCCCAGTTTCATTTTTTTGCCCTGCAGTAGTACTAGTGTAAGAGGGCGAATCGATTTCAGTGCAGTGCTTTAATCTTTATTATTGATTAACATCAATTTTCATCGATTACTGGTTTCATTATTAGGCCGGGTTAAGCGGATAATTTAGTTGTATAGGGTAAAGTTGCTGTGTGCCCAACAACAGAGTATGATGACTAAATTTTATTTGGAAAACATTATAATATATACTGTATTTAAAATTCAACTGCTGGTAAGTACAGACAGATGGATAGGTTAAATTAAAAATTGTGATTTGTTTCCTTAGTCTCAGCTTAGAAATCGTCTCATAACAGAACTCCAGGAGACTGCTGGCAGGGATGGATTGACAGCATCGTCTGACCCCTCAGGAGTTTCAGAGAATTTATGTGAACTTGCGGCAAACAGCCTTGTTGCTGACCATTTAAAGAGGTTTAAATATGATTATTCCTTATCGGTTTTTCTACCAGAGAGTGGTTTGGATCAAAACAAGGTAAAATTAACATTTAGGCATTAAAGTAACGCATAGAAGATTTGTACCTAAAAACATTATGTACAGGTCATGAATAATATGTTGAGCATTTACTTTCCTCTATCTGCTATTTTGGGGGAAGGGAGGGAGGGGACAGGAACCCAGGAGAATAGGGGGTGGGAGGCAGGAGAGGAAAGGGTGGGAAGCAGGAGTTCTAAGAAGGTGGGAATCATTTATTTAACGTTAAAATACTTTCAAAAATAAGAACCCAAAATGTTATTTGACTTTCATTTAGCCTATTTTGAGTGTTCTGGGCCAATGGAAAAATGGAAAAACTTCCAGTAAAATTGGAAACCCTTTTACAGTGGTTATGTCATAGGTCATGAAATGTTGTTTCTTAACCTTTTAAAAGACGTGAGTGAGAGGGGCAACGCTGAAAACAAAGGCATGCAGAGAGCCATTTGACAGTAGCCCTTTGCACATTCATTTCTTATTGGAAACAGAAAAAATGTGTTTTTGATACAGCAAATGTTTGATGAAAAATAGTTTGTCCTTGGTTTTTGAATTCTATCATGTCAGTTTCAGGCTGAAACACCAGCAAGTGGTGCATGAGTGGAAAACCGTGCCTTCCACTGTTATGTTTGTCCCAGAAACAAGACAAACTTAGAGAGAAACTGAGCGGCTTTACAAACAGGTTTTTTCTCCTTACCTACAAATACCTGTTTTATAACCCAAGAGGAAGTGACACTTGAAGTAGTTACAGCACAGGCAGACCACTCTATGTGTTCCTGTTTATATGAAACAAACAGAATTTATCAACAACCGTCACTATTCAGATGAGATTTTCAGTGTTTGGTATTAATTCCAGTTTGAAGTGGAGGAAGTTGCGGCTGGCGGTGGCCAAGTTGCAAGCCTTGTCTTCCTCTCTTGTCTTACTGGTCTGCGGCCAAAGCTAATTTCGTAAAAAGACGTTTCAGATGGCCCAGGAAGGTGAAAAAAACACCACAAGAGGCGATTAATGTTTCATTTAACTTTATCTGGATATTCAGACCGAGATGTAATTTAGATATGCAATTTTCAGAGCTTTATTCATAACCCTCATAGATTCTGTTCATTTCATACACAAATGCATAGAGTGATTCACCTGTGGTTACCGCAACACATAAATTGTTTTAAGCTGAAGTAACCAACCATTGCCTCTGACTTAAATGTTGTTTCAGTTACTCACTGTGAAAGATGTTCTCCTATTACTCAAGATTCCTCCAGATTCTCTAGTCTACAAACATATGGTATGCTTAAAAATGTTCTTTTGAAAAAACACTTCCATTATATGTTATAGAGTAAAGTAAGTTTCTTGTCCAAACTAAAAAGGCTAGTAGAGCTTCTTGTGACAGACATAACTGTTAAACAGCTTTATTACATCATACAAGCTCTCTGAACAGAACATCTTGAAAGGTAGTCCAAAAGTTCCAACCGAAATATCTGAATGGAAAATGTGCTCACCATTTGCAATTCTTCACCAATTCCAGTTGCCATCTTGGAATTATGATCTGGTTGAACTCATTGTAGGCTCTCTTGGTAAATTGGGCTTATCCAGAATTTACCACCAGGGACTTTTGCTTACCATTTGCAAAAACCATTGATAAACCAGTTTCTCGACTTGATCGGTAAGCAGCCCTGGTCACCAGAGTGATTTCTGCATCTCAACTCTGAGGACAAGAACCATCATCATTCATGAAATGTCCACACCATAGTTAATAAGGTACACCAGACCAGTTAAAACAACCTGATTACAGCAGTGGCCTTTTGTGATCATGTTAAAAAGACAGTCCTAAAGTTTGCAGTTGAAGCAAGAAAGAATTTCCTTGTATGAGCTACTTAGTTTCTCTACCAGCTGTTCAAGAAAGTACTCCATCTGTCCAGACTAGCGACAAGATAACTAGCAATATGTGACACTAACAATAACATGATTCCTCAAGTTGCTATGTTTCCATGTACAGTCCAAGAATGGAAAACTGTCAACCACCCAAGAATCTCAATATGTGTGGCTAAGAAATAGAGAGTCAAGGAACTGCCTACCTCCCAGATAGGAAGGACTGTGTTACAAATATCATTAGTGTCTTGAGATTACCTAGATCTGCATTCTGTTGAAGCCAGAGAATGGGAGAGAGTGGGAGGCAGAGTTGAAATGTTCTGCCACGGGAAACTACATCATGACATCATGATCTGTGCCTTGAAACAATGCACTGGTCTGGCAGCAACATCAGCTGCATGCAGCATGAAATGAACTAATCTTCAAGCTGTGTACGTTTAGACCAAATGGACTGAACATTAACTTTAATTTCTTGTGACTGTGTTTCTAGTGTGTATTACACATACATGTGCTATAACTATGGTTTTCATATANCAAATATTGTTACCCTTTCCAGTTTGAGCGAGAATTTGCAGTCAAGGCTGAGAAATTGAAGGCCAGTGAGAAAGAAAAATTACAGCTATTAGGAACTCAAAAAGAGGTGTGTTGTCCTGTTTGTTATGCTTGGTTGCTTTAATATATGTTATCTGTTGAAAAGGACATACAGGTTTACATTGTGGCAGCATTTTACTGACGATATTGTTACTAGTTTAATGGTGTACCATGATCACCTTTTCATATCGACGCAATCAACACCTGTGTCAACTGTGACTAAAAGTTTGTTTCTGTCCTGTTTGTATGAAGAACATTACCGATCAAGGGTCTCTTAACTTCACATAAATATTCTCTTAATGAGTGTACTTTACTTGTCATTTGTATCAGCTTCAAGAAGAGGAAGCCTATGTGCAGCGACAGAAACTCCTGGAGGATATGTTATCTCTCAAAGAACGTGAATCACAATTTGATTTGAACCACCAAATGAAAACAAAGTAAGTAGTATNTACGATATTGTTACTAGTTTAATGGTGTACCATGATCACGTTTTCATGTTGACCCGATCAATACCTGTGTCAACTGTGACTAAAAGTTTGTTTCTGTCCTGTTTGTATGAAGGAAATTAACGATCAAGGGTTTCTCAACTTCACATAAATATTCTCTTAATGAGTGTACTTTACTTGTCATTTGCATCAGCTTCAAGAAGAGGAAGCCTATGTGCAGCGACAGAAACTCCTGGAGGACATGTTATCTCTCAAAGAACGTGAATCACAATTTGATTTGAACCACCAAATGAAAACAAAGTAAGTAGTATTTGAATCCTGAGCTCTATCCGAAATCATTTTATTTTATCTGTTCAGAAAGACAAGATTCAATATCAATTTACATTTATGCAATACCATCTCTTGCTCTTTTATTATTTCTCAGCTTTTTCCAAATGTTGTGACATTATTGAGTCATATTTTACATGTATTTTGCTGTGAGTGTGAACCCATTTGACGAGATCTTAGTCCAGATTCTTTTGTCTTTGGGTCTCCTGTAGCAAACTTATTCATAGTCTTACTCGCTGTTTTGACAGTCGCTCGGAGAGCTTGAAAAACGCGTGACCGTTTTGCAGTCTAGTCATTACATAATCCAAGTTGTATTCCATGATTCTATGACTGTGTTCTTTATAAGACCTACAAGCTGGTTATTAGCAAACGGTCGTAAGAATCATTGCTCGTGATATCTACTCTTCACGTAATTCTTTGATTTGCTTCCCACTAGGAGCTTGAAGCTTGAGGAAGAAAGGATCACTGTTTTGTCACAGGAACTAAAAATAAAGAAATCTCTTTTAGAAGATGCAGAGGCTAATTATCAAAGGAGACTCGATGAGGAAGTACAAAGGTGCAAGTAAAAATTAGTGTCACAGGTTTTTGAACTCATAACGTCAAATAATAAAAAGTCAAATTATTCTCGCATTTTGATTGGTTTTTATTTATAATCAATTGGAGGACAGACGTATAGATGACGTCATTAACATTTTTGTTTCTTTGTTTATAAAACAAGAAGATTCCATGTTGTCATCAAAATGTGGTAAGAACATCAGTGTCACACTCGGCTATCGCCTCGTGTGCCACTTTCTTTGTTCTTACCACATTTTGACGTCAACTGTGATCAATTACTGAACAGACGCACGGCAACATGGGATCTATTTGTTAAATACGCTTTGGAAAAAGCAATATGTAAATGGATGTTCTTCACTCCTGCAGAATAGGACAAACTAATGTTGAAGGTAATTACTAAGTTAAAAGAATAAAATGCACAATCCAGTTTCTGGTTACGTGACGGGCGCTTCCTCCTATAAAGATTTCTAGTATTATTATTCTATTATGGTTATTTTATCAATGCCTGATGCTGGTTTCTTGTATTTGCAGACACAAACTGAAATGTGAAGAAGAACTTCATGAAAAGAGACGACATTTAGAGCTCAAAGAGAAACAGCTACAGGGTTAGTTTATGAAATAAATAACATAGGTTGCTAACTTTCATGCGGTAATACTCACTGATAATTTTATAGTCATATTCTTGCCCTTTATGAGAAACGTCTGTTTTAAGGCAAGTGCGAGATTCGGTGAAAAAAGTTCAAAGCCTGAAAGGCTTTAAATATCGTATTTCATTGCTTACAAACTGGAAAAAACCACACTTCCCAACCAAACAATACAATAATTACACTAATTGTAGTTAAATGTCGAATCTTATCACAAATAGTCGAACTTATTTTAAACTTGTCTGACTACAAGAAGACTGTGCAAGGACTGTTGTTCTGTTCGTCCTTTTCCAGGGGATGCGGATAGCTTTGAAAGAAAGCAAGGTATTTATATGAATGCTTCTAACGAGCTGCAAAGAACCAAAGACAAGTTACAACAGTTACAGGTGTGTTCTACGTGGACAAAGAAACCTTAATGTACTCCCGATTTGCTAGAATACAAAACTAACAGACATTGCATAACCTCTGTCAAAACTGTTCATTAACAAAGTAACATAAATATATGTTATTTGCCGGCCGGTAGGTCCGTATTGGGAAAAACTTTGCCGAGGCCTTGAATGCTGCATGTTTTGGTCAGTCTTTTAAAAGGTCTCAAAGAGTCAATTTGACGAACAAAATTTCATAGCAATTACGACAATCAAAAACAAACAAACATACAAACAAACAAAAACAGGACTAAATAAACGTGGCCATCTTAAGTTTGGCTTCTGGGAATACAAATTTCTGAATTTTCAGGTTGTTTTAAGGACAACTACAGTACTGACCCTATTTTTATTTACACTTAACAACTAGACTCAGCTTGAAAGCAACAAGTCCCATCTCACATCAGCTCTTCAGCAGAAGGAAACTGCAAACAAAAGACTAAAAGAGGTAGGTGAACAATATCT